CTCTCTCTCTCTCTCTCTCTCTCTCTCTCTCTCTCTCTCTCTCTCTCTCTCTCTCTCTACACAGGACGAAGAAAAGAGGGAGGAGGAGGAGAAGAAGAAGAAGAATAGTGGCTATGGAGGAGCGGAGAAAAGTCAGGAGAAGAAGGAGAAGAAGCAGAAGAAGCAGAAGAACTCTCCTCTCTCACGCTATCGAACCATGATTCGTGGGGGAGAGCTGTATGATAAGAAACTATCATGTGTGGTTTCCTAGGGCGGCAAAACACAAACCCCGACCTCTATCTATGATAAGTATTGGAGTTCTTCGATTATTGGAGAGCACAAGTGGAACCAAATGTGTGCCTGGCCTGGAAACATGGCCGTGGGCCTCCAGGAATCCAGGTCGCTCACCAAAAATGTGTGCGCGGCCTGGGCGCCTGGAACAACCGCCGGGCCCCAAAACAGGGCCCGTGTAGCAGCGTCAGCATGCTACAGAGACTGTGAAGTCAGCAACAAGGCAGACTGCCTTCAACCCATAACTCGCAGTGTAGCTTAGTGTCAACTGGTAGATATTAGGGCTTAATGTAGCTGTTACCTAGTGTGAAGCAGTGCCCCGTCCTGGTCAGGTTGCCGTGCCCCTTGCAGGTCCGGTGGGTGGATTAAACCGGTTCGACTACACGGCTAGCGGTAGGTAGTGTGAGGTGAAAAAACAAGGAGCAAAGAAAAATAGAATAGTAAAAATGTCCTTTCTTTCTTTCTTTCTTTTTTTCTTTCTTTTTCCATACCATTTCTCGATTTACGCGTGTCATCCTTGCACAGGGGCCCTGATGGACCTATCGTTCCAATTTTTACGGATGTCCTTACAATTGCTATCTTGCTCAAAATCGTCGACGAGGCCAAGAAAGGAAGGCCGTGCTCAGGGTAATCAGGGATGCTCATCATCTTCGGGGCAATTCTCGGTCTGGGTACAGCGACTCCCTAAAAGCTGAAAATGCGCGCACAAAGATGACGAACCCTCTTTCTCCAGATAACACAACATGACAATGGTCTCGAACTGTGACAAACCGTCACAAAACCACTGGTCTCGAACCCTGGATTCTCATGGTTTTGTGATGGTTCATCACAGTTGGCGACGGTTTCAGATGGGATTGTGACAGCTTCTGCAAGTTTTTCACACCCTACAAGCCGGTGTATAGAGATTCGCATGCTTTTCTGAATGCGTGCACGAGCCCGCGCGACACACAAGTGGTTAACCCCGGGGAGGAGGGGGGGAGGGGTTTCACCGAAGTTTACACTGCAACTGTCATACTGCACTGGTTTTTTATTTTTTTAATTTCTTTTCTTTTCTTTTTGTGTCATATTTTTGGTGCTTGAGGGTTAGGGTACACGTCATGTGTCCAGTTTTGACATATTTGGAATTTTGGATCAATAATGAAAAAGGTGGCATTTCGCTGGATTCGTTGAACGCTTCATTTTAACTCAGAAAAAGTGTGGTTTTGTGTCAGGGTTTTATAGTGGTTTTGTCAACTTTTGTGTTTTCTTGTTCGTTCTTTTTTTGGCCTCTTTTTTTTTTTTTTTAATGTTTGCTCTATGAGCCCATATAGTTTGTTCTTGGATTTTTTGCTCAATTTTGCACCAAATCTGTCGGCGAAAGCGGCAAATTTCCAGCCCTCTGTTTAACCGCGTGTCGCGCGACAGCATCTAAACGTTGTACAACCTCGGCAGTTTTTTTGTTTTTTTTTTTTTTTTTTTTTTTTTTTTTTTTTTTTTTTTTACTTCTTGTTTAGGGGGGGGTGCAGCTCCTTCTTTTTTTTTTTTTTCCCCCTCGGCAGTTTTTTTGTTTTTTTTTTTTTTTTTTTTTCCGTCTTCTTCTTCTTCTTTTAGAAACATTATGGATTGTGAGATTTTGTGACCGTTAGTGAAAATTTGCAACCATTTTCAGACAGTTTGCACCCTCTTGTGACAGTTTTTTTCCCAGACATCCTGCTGCACTCTGTTGCACGGGCTCACCTGCCTTCTGAATACATGAGCGCCAGCATGTACGGTGCACGCCACTCGTCCGCGTTCATTGCTCGCTGAAAGTAGGCGAACGCTATCGTGTCGTTCTTCTCCACTCCGTTGCCGGCAAGATACATGTTGCCGAGGTTGCATAGCGCATCAGAATAGTTATCTTCTGCCGCCTTGAGGAAGCATAACCATGCGAGCGTGTAGTTCTTTGGGCAGCCCCATCCGTAAAAGTACAGCACACCGAGACCGTTCCACGCGGCCGGGAGAAGGCCCACCCATGCCGCCTCTTCAAACAGATGGCGAGCGGCAGTGTAGTTCTTCGGTGTGCTGATGCCATGCAGATGCATAAAGCCTAGGTGAAATTTTGCCAGAGCATCGCCGTTTGCAGCTGCCGCCTCGAAGTTGTTGAACGCCGCCAGAGGGTCCCGCTCAACGCCCCGTCCCAAGAGTCGTCGATAACCAATGTACAGCTGGGACTCTGGCACTCCTCGCCTTGCCAGATCTTCATGCTTCTCAACCTGAAAAACCAAAACGACAAAAAAACACAAAAAGGAATGACCATCGTCAATGTATGGTTAGTTCTCAACCCTAAAAGACGAAACGAAAAAAGGAACTCTGGCACTCTTCACCTTCTCGAACTGCGAAAGGCGCACGGAGGGAGACAGAGAAGCCAATAAGAAAAGAGAACAAAAGACCATTTCACAACGGAAACCAAACTGTAGAAACTCAAATCACGAGCACCAGAGGTGGCAACTGGGTAACCGTTGCCCGTACCCGACCGTACCCAACTGTAACCAGCAGGTTATGGGCAGGTACGGGTACCCTTCCGGACGGGGGCATCGGTATGGGCAGGCATAAATTTTATTTGTGGATTTCAGGGCTGGCACAGTTGCACTGCGTGGAGATCAAGGGCAGGCATCGGCGGGTACTGGCGGTGAAAAGGGAAAAACCGCAGGTATGGGCGGCCAAGAAAACCATTATAGGGTGGTGAAAAAAAAAATCACAGGGGTATGGACGGGTAAGCAATTCCATCGGGTAACCGTACGTAATATCCACCTCCCCCTCCCTCTTCCCAGGAAATATACAGACCGGCGAAGCTGTTTTTTTCTTAGGCACAACTTTTTTTCCTGGCGTGAACGACGAGAAAAAGATTTCAGGAAATAGCCTCCCAACTTCAAAATTGGCCACTTTCGAAATTGGAAGGCTCCAGCCTCGGCTCAAGGAGTTTCCTCTTGGAAATTGGTCGCCCGTCATGGTTGTACCCACCGCCCTTCTGTGTGCATGCCACTGCATGGCCATCATCCGCCCGTCGTGGTTGTACCCACTGTCGTTCTGTGTGTGTTGCATGACACAGAGAGAGAGAGAGAGAGAGAGAGAGAGAGAGAGAGAGGCTAGAGAGAACAGGTAAGTCTCCAACCCTGTGGCTAACCTCACTCTACTTTCATCGATAGGATGAGCAAAATCGAATGAATCTTCCGTGGAGGGCAGTTAGAGGGGATAGGGGGCGGCTAGGGG